GGCCAGAGTTGCCTTTTCAATGATTTATGTCATTGTTTAATCCCTGTAAAAACACAAAATGTAGATTTTTTTTTTTTTTTTTTTTTGAGACAGGGTTTGGCTCTGTCACCCAGGCTGGAGTGCTGTGGTGCCATCTCGATTGACTGCAACCTCCTCCTCCCAGGCACAAGCAATGCTCTCACCTCAGCCTCCCAAGTAACTGGGAACACAAGTGTCCACCACAATGCAATTTTATTTTATTTATTTGTAGACACAGATTGGTCTCGAACTCCTGGGCGTAAGCCATCCGCTCCCTGCCCTTGGGTCCCCTGGGATTCCAGGCATGATCAGCCACTGTATCCTGCTGACAAATATTTTAATGATTAAAAAAAATAACAAAACCCGGCCCAGTGCGGTGGCTTACACCTGTAATCCCAGCCCTTTGGAAGGCCAAGGCGGGTGAATCACCTGGGGTCAGGAGTTCAAGACTAGCCTGGCCAACATGGTGAAACTCTGTCTCTGCTAAAAATACAAAAACTAGCCAGGCGTGGTGGCGGGCGCCTATAATCCCAGTTACTCAGGAGGCTGAGGCAGAAGAATTGCTTGAACCTGGGAGGCAGAGGTTGCAGTAAGCCGAGATCATGCCACTGCAGTCTCCAGCCTGGGTGACAGAGCAAGACTCCATCTCAAAAATAAAATAAAATAAAATAAATAAAAAAGGCTTAGACCTGTAATCCCACCACTTTGAGAGGTCAAGGGGGGCAGATTGCTTGAACCCAGGAGTTTGAGATCAATCTGTCTCTACAAAAAAAAATAAAATAAAATTAGCTGGGCATAGTGGTGCACATGTATAGTCCCAGCTACTTGGGAGGCTGAGATGGGAGCATTGCTTGAGCCCTGGAGGCGAGGCTGCAGTGAGCCGTGACTGTGATTGCACCACTGCACTCCAGCCTGGGCAACAGAGCAAAACTTTGTCTCACAAAAATAATAATAAAATAAAGTATGTGTCATTTTGATTTGTGATAACCTTAAGAAAAAAACCCGGCAAAGTCTGAGAACCGGGTAATTGACTACAAATTGGAGAATGATTTACCTGCTATCTGAGATAAAGAAAAGGTATAAATCACAATGTTGCTTTAAATTCCTTCTGCCTTTTTGTTTATTGTTTCCTTTTGTGTGGAATCTCATTGTGCATTGATCTAAACCCAGCTCCTACCAAATGGGACATAGAGTAGGCCCCTACATAAACATTTAGGACTAGGCATGTGTGCTCCGTATAGGGTATGTAGAACCCTCTCTCAATTTCTAAGTCATAAATAGTTCTTTAAAGTCTAAGAAATTAGGCCAGGCGCTGTGGCTCACGCCTCTAATCCTAGCACTTTGGGAGGATGAGGTGGGTGGATCACCTGAGGTCAGGAGTTCAAGACCAGCCTGACCATCATGGTAAAACCCCATCTTTAAAAACAAAAAAAAGAAAAGAAAAAAAAAAGAAGTGTAAGAATTTGGCAAACTCAGGCTGGGTACGCTGGCTCAGGCCTGAAATCCCAGCACTTTGGGAGGTTGAGGCAGGTGGATCAGTTGAGGTCTGGAGTTTGAGACCAGCCTGGCCAACATGGTGAAACCCTATCTCTACTAAAAATGCAAAACAAAACAAAAACCAAAAATTAGTACTCTGATGTCAGGTGCTTGTAATCCCAGCTACTTGGGAGGCAGAGGCAGGAGAATCGCTTGAACCTGGGAAGTGGAGGTTGCAGTGAGCCAAGATCGTGCCACTGCACTCCAGCCTGGGAGAGCTGTGTCCATTCATTTACATATGCTATATGGTTGCTTTCCCTACACGGGCAGAGCTTAAAAGAAGTTACACACTGTAGTTTAGGCAAAGGCTAAAATATTTACTATATGGCCCTTTAGATAAAAAGTTGGCCCTAACCCTTGCATGAGGAGCCATAAATAGATGCACTTGCATTTAGCATCTATTTATTGTTTTTCATGACAAACCTAGAGTCAAATCAGCATCTGGCTAAAAAACAAATGCACTATGACAAATGTTCACAGATTAGCAAAGTGCTAACCCAGTCGTGGAAGTCTAATAGTGTTACAGAGTCACAGGCTTAGCTAATATGTAAATAGCAAACATAAGCAATAATAATTTATATGTCCATGGCATTATATAGATTATGAAACGTTTCATAACTATCTCATTGGATGTTTTCAATAACCGTAGAAAGTAGACAGGGAGGCCAGGCATGGTGGCTCATACCTGTAATCCCAGCATTTTGGAAGGATCATTTGAGGCCAGGAGTTCAAGACCAGTCTGGTCAGTATAACGAGACCCTGTCTCTGCAAAAAAAATAATTTTTAAAAAAATCAGCCAGGTTTGTTGGCACGTGCCTGTGGTTCCATTTACTTGGGAGGTTGGGGTGGGAAGATCACTTGAATCTAGGAGTTTGAGGTAACAGTGAGTTATGATTGCACTCAAGCCAGGATTGCAGAGCAAGACTCTGTCCCCCGACCAAAAAAAAAAAAAAAAAAAAAAAAAAAGATGGTTGGCGCTATGGCTCACGCCTGTAATCCTAGCACTTTGGGAGGCCGAGGAGAGCGGTCACTTGACGTCGGGAACCAGCCTGACCAACATGGAGAAACCTCGTCACTTCTAAAAATTATAAAATTAGCCAGGCGTGGTGGTGCATGCCTGTAATCCCAGCTACTCCGGAGGCTAAAGCAGGAGAATTGCTTGAACCTAGGAGCAGAAGTTTCGGTGAACCAAGATCGTGCCATTGCACTCTAGCCTGGGCAACAAGAGGAAAAATCCATCTAAAAAAATAATAATAATTAAAAAAAGAAAGCACTCAAATAAATATAGATCAGATTCAGAGACACTGCATGATAACCCAGAGTGAAAAGGAACTCAGAGTCAATGTCTTCAGTCTTTTCTTTTAGCAGCTAAAATAATTCTTTTATATCTGGAAAATGCTTACCTTGCTTAAAAAAAGAAACGGTGAGTGGTTATTAACATTTATAATTTTATGATGCACTGACTTGGAAGATCACTTACTAAACTGCACTTTGTAATAACATGTTCTATCTTTTAAATGTTGTATTTTTATGTTAGTATAATGGTAAAAATAATATAAGCATTTTTATATGATTTTAAAAATCAAAATAAACATGGGCCTAATTAAGTTCTAAGTTAAAAATACAATCTGGCTGGGCGCGGTGGCTCAAGCCTGTAATCCCAGCACTTTGGGAGGCCGAGGTGGGTGGATCACGAGGTGAAGAGATCGAGACCATCCCGGTCAACATGGTGAAACCCCGTCTCTACTAAAAATACAAAAAATTAGCTGGGCATGGTGGCGTGTGCCTGCAGGAGAATTGCCTGAACCCAGGAGGCGGAGGTTGCGGTGAGCCGAGATCGCGCCATTGCACTCCAGCCTGGGTAAAAAGAGCAAAACTCCGTCTCAAAAAAAAAAAAAAAAAAATACAATCTAAAATTTTTGAAATCTTAGAAACTACAAGATGAATCAGTTATCTGATTTTCTTGGATTAACAGAATTTAACAATTTCTAAAAAACAACTCTTGGAGTAGCAGGGAAAAATCAGTCTTAGTAAAAAAGTGAGTATATATGAGCTTGAGAAAAATAGTGAAAAGTATAGTGCTCTGTAAATGCATCAAATTATGTTGAACTAAAAATTTTTCTTTTTTTTTTAGAGATGGGGGTCTCACTATGTTGCCCAGGCTGGAGTGCAGTGGCTATTCACAGGTGCCATCACACTACGGATCAGCACGGGAGTTTTGACCTGCTCCGTTTCTGACCTGGGCCGGTTCACCCCTCCTTATGGAACCTGGTGGTCCCCTGCTCCCAGGAAGTCACTATATTGATGCCGAACTTAGTGCGGACACCTGATTGGCATAGCACTACAGCTCAGAACTCCTGGGCTCAAGTAATCCTCCTACCTCAGCCTCCCATGTACCTGGGACTACAGGCACGCCACACCCCGCCCAGCTGAACTAAGTATTTTAATGGAAGCTACAAACCTGTAAATAACTATTACAATCTATTTCTTATATCACCTAAGACTTGATCTTCTGTGTGATCACACCACTTCTGAGAAATTGCCAGTTTACCAACACATTGCTGTGTTGGTCTTGTACCAGCATAAAAAATAATACAATATACTGCATGACTCAGCTAGATGACATTCTGGAAAAGGTAAATCTATGGAGACAGTGAAAAGATCAGTGATTGCTAGGGGTCAGGGTAAGGAGGGGATGAATAGTGGAGGGCAGAGGATGTTTAGGGCTGTGAAAATTAACTGCGTGATACTATAATGATGGATGCATGTTATTATACATTAGTCCAAACCCATAGAATGTACAACACCAAGAGGGAACTCTAACATAAACTAAGGACTTAGGTGATAATGACATGTCAATGCAGGTTCCTCAGTTATAACAAATGTGCCATTTCTGCTGGGGGATGCTGATAGCGAAGTAGGTTATGTGTGCATGGAGACAAAGGTATGTGGGTCATCTCTGTACCTTCTGCTTAGTGTTGCTGTGAACCTAAAACTGCTCTAAAAATATATTTTTTTTATTTTTTGAAACGAGTGTTGCTCTGTTGCTAGGCTGGAGTGCAATGGTGTTATCTCGGCTCACTGTAACCTCCCAGCTATTTTTTTTTTTTTTTTTTTTTTTGTATTTTTAGCAGAGACGGGTTTCACCATGTTGGCCAAGATGGTCTCAATCTCTTGACCTTGTAATTCTCCTGCCTTGGCCTCCCAAAGTATTGGGATTACAGGTGTGAGCTGTCGTGCCTGGCCAAACTGCTCTAAAATATAAAGTCTATTTAAAAAAAATTAATATAATGTGCGAATAAAGACCACAATTCTAGGTCCTTGTCAGAAGCTTTATAAATGTGCATTAAAAAATTATTTTTTGAGTACACTACAGCAGAAACAGAAGAAAAACAAAGGCCCAGAATTTTTCCAGCAGTATAGACCCAGAGCAATCATGAACTTACTTCACATCCAGATTGGGTTTCCCATGAACACGACTCCTTCTCCTGAGGGAGAACCCCTCTTTGGAAAGCATGTTCACCCAGGCATGTTTGACACAAGGAAGGCTCAAAGTCTGGCTCCCCTGGAGGGATGTGCACCATCGAGGGGCCGGTGTACTTCAGGCTGGGGCTCTGATGCTTGTCCACACTGACCATTGGGCTCTTGATCCATCTTCGTACCTACGAGGTGCAAAAGGAAAGAAAAACGAATGCCTTTGACTCCCTTTGATGTTTAATGGGAATTTGGTGGGAAATTTGGTGGGACGGGAGCTCAGGAAAGGAAAACTCAGTCTCACAACCTCTCTCTCTTTCAAACTCATCACAATTCGAATTGGTCAGTGTTGTTCAGTCTCTTTCCTAGAGCATGCATTACGTGGCTGGTCATTTCATCTTGCTGAATCTGTCTCCTTATTTTTTTTTCACATTTATTTTTTTCTTTTCATTTTCCTCCTGCTTCCAGTGGGGTTAGAATTTTTTTTCTTTTTAGAGATAGGAGGGTTTCCACTATGTTGCCCAGGCTGGTATTGGCATTAAAAGATCCTCCTGGATCAGCCTGGCCAACACGGTGAAACCTCATCTCTACTAAAAATACAAAAATTAGCCACTCATGGTGGTGCACACCTAAAGTCTCAGCTGCTTGGGAGAATTCCTTGAACCCTGGAAAGTAGAGGTTGCAGTAAGCTGAGATCTCCCCACTGCACTCCAGCCTGGGCAGCAGAGCAAGACTGTCTCAAAAAACAAAACAAAACAGAAAACAAACAAAAATAATTATCCTGGCCAGGTGAAGTGGTTTATGTCTATAATCCCAGCACTTTGGGAGGCTGAGGCAGGAGGATTGCTTTAGCCCAGGAGTTTGAGACCAGCCTGGGCAATATAGTGAGACTTTGTCTCTATGCAAAAAATAACATTTTTTTTTTTTTTTTAAAGAAAAAGATCCGACTGGGTGCAGTGGCTTACACCTGTAATCCCAGTACTTTGGGAGGCTAAGGCAGGTGGATCACCTAAGGTCAGGAGTTCAAGACCAGCCTGGCCAACATGGTGAAACCCCATCTCTGCTAAAAATACAAAAATTAGCTGGATGTGGTGGTGGGCGCTTGTAATCCCAGCTATTCAGGAAGCTAAGGCAGGAGAATCACTTGAACCTGGGAAGCGGAGTTTGCAGTGAGCTGAGATTGCATCACTACACTCCAGCCTGGGTTACAGAACCAGACTCCATCTCAAAAGAAAGAATGAAAGAAAGAAAGAAAGAGAGAGAGAGAGAGGGAGGGAGGGAGGGAGGAAGGAAGGAAGGAAGGAAGAAAGAGAGGGAGGGAGGGAGGGAAGGAAGGAAGGAAGGGAGGGAGGGAGGGAGGGAGGGAGGGAGGGAGGGAAGGAAGGAGATCCTCTTGCCTCTTAAAGTGTTGGGATCACAGGTGTATGTCACTGTGCCCGACCTGTCTCCTCATTTGTAAGATTTAGGTAACAGCATTTCCTCCCAAGCTGTGAAAATGTTACCATGTTTTACAATGTTCAAGTATTTTACCTGGCATATGCTTCATGCCCGATAGATAGTGACTATTTTACTTTGACCCTTATTATTATGATAATGGTGACAGAAATTTAATTCACACATGTCTAAGGTGAATTGCTAGTTATTCTTACAAGGGAAAATACTAATCCCATAGTTTACAATCATATTCACTATTATTATTATTATTGAGACAGGATCTTGCTCTGTCACCCAGGCTGGAATGCAGTGGTCTAATCATGTAATCATGGCTCACTGCAGCCTAGACCTGCTGGGCTCAAGCAATCCTCCCACCTTAGCCTCTAGAGTAGCTGAGACCATAGAATCGAGCCATCACACTAGTATTTTTTTTTTTGGTAGACATGAGGTCTCACTAAGTTGACCAGGCTGGTATCAAACTCCTGGGCTCAAGTGATCCTTCCATCTCCCAAAATGTTGGGATTACAGGAATGAACCACTGAGTCTGGCCCCTATATACTTCTTTAAAACCTTGATTATAAAAGAAACTGCTTCTGGCTAAAAAATTATCTCGTTTGTTTTTAAAGTTCTAAAACTCACCACTTCTCTTACTTGCTTGTAAAATTTCTATAAAATACAGAAAAAAAATAAAATTATTCTAATATTAACAGGCATAATATTTATATAGCATTTCAAAAATGCAAAGCACTTTTTAAAGTGTTAAATGGGGCCAGGCACGGTTAGCTCATGCCTGTAATCCCAGCACTTTGGGAAGCCAAGGTGGGTGGATCATCTGAGATCAGGAGCTTGAGACCAGCCTGATCAACATGGAGAGACCCCATCTCTACTAAAAATACAAAAAATTAGCTGGCTGTGGTGACAGGCACCTGTAATCCCAGCTTCTCAGGAGGCTGAGGCAGGAGAATCGCTTGAACCGGGAGGCGGAGGTTGCCATAGCCAAGATTGCGCCATTGCATTCCAGCCTAGGCAACAAGAGCGAAACTCCATCTCAAAAAAAAAAAAAAAGTGTTTGATGTGTACAGTTTTTAATCCTCAGAACAGGTATGGCGAGATGTTTCACATCTGTAATCCTAGCATTTTAAACTTTGGGAGGCCAAGGCAGGCAGATCACTTGAGGCCAGGAGTTTGGCACCAGCCTGGCCAACATAGCGAAACTCTATCTCTATGAAAAAAAAAAAATGTAAATAAAGAATAAAAAAATTAATTTGTTCTCAGAACAGTTTTACAAGAAAAGTACTATTTTCAATTCCACTTTACAGATGGAAAAACAAAGGCACAGAGATGTGAAGCAAATTTCCCCAGGGCACAGTGTTGCTATGGAGTAAAGATGGGATCCAGGCACCTTGAATCCAGAGTATATAAGCATACAATTTCTAAGAAGTGTTGAAGTGTTGTTAAGACTTATGGTCATTAATGCTTGAAATTTATTTTGATTTACTATGTCACTTCCATGCTTTTCAAAACTCCTGAGGATTCTTTTATATTCAACCAATTAGTGAAATTAATTAGCAAAAGGACAAAGAAATAAAATCACAGTACTGAATTTTAGTTAGTAATGCTACAATTATTATTTTTGATAAAGGGTCTTGCTTTGTTCCCCAGATTGGAGTCCAGTAGCACGATGACGGCTCACTGAAGCCTCAGCTTCCCGGGTTCAATTGATCCTTCCCCTTCAGGCCTCCCAAGTAGCTGGAACTACAGGCATGCATTACCGTGCTTGGCTAATATTTAAAAAAAATTTTTTTTGTAGAGACAGAGTCTTGCTATGTTGCCCAGACTGGTCTCAAACTCCTGGCCTTAGGCAATCCTCCCACCTCAGCTTCCCAAAGTGTTGAGATTATAGGTGTGAGCCACCATGCCCAGCCTGCAATTAACTTTTTAATAACACTGAAGATAAACTAAAATTGCAATAGCAATCATGTTTTTGTTTTTGTTTTTGTTTTTTTTCCAAGACTGTAGTCTCACTCTGTCACCCAGTATGGAGTGCAGGAGCGCGATCTTGGCTCACTGCAACCTTTATCTCCCAGATTCCAGGAATTGTCCTGCCTCAGCCTCCCAAGTAGCTGGGACTACAGGCAAGTACCACCATGCCTGGCTAATTTTTATATTTTTTAGTAGAGACCCCTATAATCCCAGCACTTTGGTTTGGGAAGCCGAGGTGGGTGGATCACCCGAGCTCAGGAGTTTGAGACCAGCCAGGTCAACATGGTGAAACCCTGACTCTACTAAAAATACAAAAATTAGCTGGATGTGGTGGTACATGCCTGTACCTCCAGCTGCTCTGTAGGCTGAAGCAGGAGAATCGCTAACCTGGAAGGCAGAGGTTGCAATGAGCCTGCAGTGAGCCTGAGATTGTGCCACTGCACTGCAGCCTGGGTGACAGAAGGAGACTGTCTCAAAAAAAATAAAATAAAATACATTTTCAATTAGCCTGCAGTGAGCCTGAGATTGTGCCACTGCACTGCAGCCTGGGTGACAGAAGGAGACTCAAAAAAAAAAAAAAATACATTTTTTGAGTTTACTATCTTAAAGTTAAAACTTGTGAGTTTCTGTAAGTATTTCTGGCACTGTAGGGCCTCTTAAGCAGGTACCTTAGCAGGTATATTAAGAAATCTTTTGCTGATTCATTAAAGTAAATCTAAATAAAACTCTGAAAGTTTGAGACTACAATAGAACATATCTTCTTAATGTTAGTACTAAATGTGTTTTGGATCAATCTAAAAAAAGAAAACAGGCCGGGCGCCGTGGATCACGCCTGTAATCCCAGCACTTTGGGAGGCCGAGATGGGTGGATCACGAGGTCAAGAGATCGAGACCATCCTGCTCAACACAGTGAAACCCCATCTCTACTAAAAATAAAAAAAATTAGCTGGGCATGGTGGCGCGTGCCTGTAATCCCAGCTACTCAGGAGGCTGAGGCATGAGAATTGCCTGAACCCAGGAGGCGGAGGTTGCGGTGAGCCAGGATCGCGTCATTGCACTCCAGCATGGGCAACAAGAGCGAAACTCTGTCTCAAAAAAAAAAAAAAAAAAAAAAAAAAAAGAATGAAAAAAAGAGCCGAGATCGTGCCATTGCACTCCAGCCTGAGCAACAAGAGTGAAACTCCGTCTCGAAAAAGAATAAAAAAAAGTATTCAATTTCTTTAGAGATGGAAAATGTTTTTTATTATTCTTATTCAGATGGTTTTGGGCTTGAAGTTTGGTAATTGTTACTGCTTTGTTTCCAGCTTTGTATTTTAAAATCCATCTTTTTACCCTGGCTTACTTTCAACATCTCTTTTGCCAAGTAGATTTAACTTTGGGGCTACTTCAAACAGAATTTAAGTAGATGATAAATCTATTCAAATATGTGTAAGTTGTAAGCCTGAACTGATTAAGAATCTTTGTATCTTTAAATGTATCTTTTCCTAGCCCCCCCAAAAACCTGCACTCTAGAGCTTAAGTTATGGCTAATAGAATAGACTTTTTAAAAAAATATTCTTTTTTCACGTTATTTTTATTTCTTTTTTGTTCTTATTTTTTCTTTTTCTTTTTTAAATATGTTACAGTCGGAATATGTTTATAGTGACTTTTTTGTTTGTTTGTTTGTTTTTAGAGACAATCTCACTCTATTGCCCAGGCAGGAGGGCAGTGGCACGATCATAGCTCACTGCCACCTAGAACCCCTGGGCTCAGATGATCCTCTCACCCTACC